CGGAGTTATTACGTCGATTAACTGTTTAGGACATTGAGGTAGGTCGTTGGTACTTAGTAGTCATGGTAAAAAACACATCGTTTACAACGTTTCGTCCCCGCCATTTCATCCCCGTCAATTAATAAAATAGGACATTTGGCCTACGGGATTTATAAGACGTTATTTTAATTTGTAGCCATACTTGCATAGTTCACTCATATTATTTAAAAATTAAATTTGACGGATGAAAATCATATTGTAAGTAATACATTTTATAATATTTTGAAATTGTATTATTTTATTAATTTAAATTATACCTACTGACATTTTACATTTTATAAAAAGAATTGAAATTCTAAAAAAATAGTGATATAATATATTGGGGGACCAAGCGTCCTATCCAATAATTGACGGTGACTAAATGTACGCGACTGGTTTTTTTCGAATTAGCGATAATTTGGCAGTAACTAGTTACTAGTAGGTACCTACTACCTACTAAGTAGGTACTAAACGTCGTAATTATAGTGTAAAATCACTAAAATCATAAACATCACTACATGAGTAGCTACATGATAAATAACAATTAAAATAATAAAATAGGTATTCAATATGGAATTTAATATTAAGGAGGCATGAAAATTACCCAATTCTTCGTATTTCCAATATTATGGCTTATTTAGCGGTTTCAGAGTATAAACACCTATTATAAATGTTGTACAAGAAAAGTTAACTGTGTCTGTATTCTGTATTGAGCCAATTTTTGATATCTTAATTACTAAGCTCAATAACAATTCAAATGCAAAAAGTAAAATGGACATTGAAAATGAAATATCAAAAATCATCTCCTATACCACGATCGTTTAAACAGGCCTAGTCGCCTCGATACACTTCGTCTTTACTAGTTCACTACAATGTTTAGATAGGTAATAGTTTATAAGTGTTAATAGGTACTTTGTAAGTTTGTCAGTAAGATATATTTTTAATGGAAATGCATCGATAAAAAATGTTATTGAAATTATTGGTAAAAAATTGATAAGATGAAGTAAAGTCGTAAAGATAAAAAGTTGTGATAGCCCATAGATAATTGAACTTTGAAGTAATCGTAATGATAGGTACTTCAGTACTTGAAAGTTATATACTATTAGACTATACGTTTGTAAATAGTTACAAATTACAAATAAGTGATTATGTAGGTCGTAGGTTTCTAAAACCGTAGATACTTTGAACTTAACATGGCCTTTTACACTTTCAATCAAAGTACCTACGATTTTTTTCACAATTACAATGAGAAAGACCGAGGAATGTACATAATATCATATAATATCTGCTAATTACCTTCAAATAATTAGCCAAAACGGTCCATGCTTTTATTTGATTGAAATTTGAAAATTAAGTGATAATTTCTTCAAAATCTGCTTTACCTATTTGTATTTCTGATTCAATTGTCAATAATTCCAATGCAAACATCTTTTTTGATTCATATTTTATAGTTAAACTATAATAATATTCAATATTAATCTTATATATTTGTTGTTATTTTTAATATTATTTTCTGACTAATTGATGAAAACAATATACATTTTTGGACTAATAATTGCTTTCAAGAGGACGTGTCACGGAAAAAAATCACTCGAAAAATTCCTTTAAAAACATGTTTGCGCGTTCCAATAACATGGGTTACTGAGTGGTTTTATAATAAAAGGGGATTTTTATCTGGTTCCTTAGGAAGCCCGATTTTTGAAATTTTCATTTCTAAGTCCTAAAATTAACTTTTGAAAAATTAAAAAAAAAGTGTGTTATTAATCATAGTATATTTCATGATATTTTAAAGATATCAAAAATCGGGCTTCTTACGGAACCAGATAAAAATCTCCTATACAATTTTTTTCATAGGTATTTTTACAATTAAACCACCCAGTAACCCATATTATTGGTCGCGCAAAGTATGTTTTATTAGAAAACTGCAGAAAATTACGCTCGTCAAGTGCTGCGCCAATAAGCAGTGGCAGCGTTTGGTAAGATTAAATACTATAAAATATAAATGTATTTATTTGTTGATGCAATAAATATTAAATACACAATAATAATATCTGATATGTCATAAATTCTCCCACCCCCTTCCATTAAATGAACTAAAAATGTTGTAGCTCCGGGAAACAGGGTACACCACTTGCCCAGGGGACATGTATTTAGGGAAATGCCTACTGAACAGAAATTGATGTATTTTCAAAACTAGTGATTTATATTAGATATTTTTATTTTTAGAGAATTATTCTTTTTTTCAAATGACATAAATTAAATGAGAATTTCGCAAAAACAATATTATATTAAATCAAAATATGCAGTAGGTATGTTCATATTTATAAAAACAAAACTAAATTTCCCATAACAAAAAAAATAAAGAGTTAAATGAGTTTAAATGAGTTTCTACAAAGATTACTTTAGGTAATAAATAATAATACCTTAGGTTAATAGTTATACTATAATTATTTATGTTATGAATCATGATAAAATAATATTGTAAATAGATAAACACAAAATAAACTTTGTGTGACCGACTTACCAATTTGTAAAATTAGATTAACTATATTTTTTCAGTACTAACTTTTAACTTAAGTCAGTTAAATTTAATATTTGTTAACTTCAGTTAATTATTTTCATTAACTTCTCCATCTTTGATAAAGGTTGTATATTCTATGAACATAGGTACCAATGCATTTGAATTAACTTTTTTAGTAGAGCCGGTGATGTGGTATTTGGTAACTTAAGGAATATTGTATACTCATATCGATAGAAAACAGACAACACACATGAGTCTCAATCCAAAGTAAGTTGTAAGTCAACTAGAAAAAATTAATTTTCAAGAACTTTATTATTACCTATGTTTTGTCAATCTATTTCTTTTCTAAAATTAAGGGAAAGACTAATTTATCAAAACAAATTTAGAAATGGTTTTATCGGATTTTCAAATAAATTTGTTGGATATATTATATTCTATAAAACAGGCAAATCAGTATTTTAATTCGCATTCAATTTTAGTTAAAATAATTTTTACCTATGATAAATTACACAAGTATTATAGTATTGGTCTACTTAAAATTATTGAATTCATATTTAGCAAGAAATTAATCTTATTGTCAAACAAAAAATATTATAATTTAATGATACTAAGACTATAGTCTGGGGCACAACAAATAAGGGCCACAGTTCATTACTACTAATGCAACTATTGGTTATCAACATTTTACTGTAGCGATTACGTTAATTTATACATATATCATCATGTATTATAAAATAAATAAATTTTAAAAACATAAGTAGCATTAAAGTGTAAAAAAATAAAATAAAATAACACACATATTATAAAGAATTTGGTATTTTAAAAAGAATTTATGAATTTATTTTTTAGATACCACTATAAAACAAAATATACCACTTTGCACATGATGGACAGTGCTAAGTTTTCATGCCCTCGACTTTATGTTCTGGCAATAGATTGTAAATAGTTATTTCAAATTATTTTTAATACCATATATGGAAAAATGTTTAGTTTTTTACATTTTGTAGCTATTTAAGCAATTATTGTTTTTAAAACTAAATCCTCCACTTAGTTTTAAAAAAAATTCCTGATTTTATTATAAATATTTTTATTTTTATCTGCTTATTTACTATACATTATTCTATGTATTAGCATAATAATATATATGGATTGATGATGAACTGCATATACTCAATTACAAATTATAAGAAAGTTTAAACTCTAAAAGAAAACTGGGGTTTATAACCCCTCCACACAAACTAATGTTAACTAAACATAAAATTAAGATTAAATAATTTAAATAAATAAATAACAGAACAAAATTTAGATAGTATAGCATAGCAATGAATTCTTTCGATTATCTAAAGGTAATTATATATTTTTATTTTTTATTGATTCAAAAAAAAAAATCTCATTTGTTCATACAATTTTAAATGTGATAATGAAATAATGAACTGCTAAACAAAATCTACGCACTCAAAGTAACCTTTTAAAATTTGTTTGACAAAAATACTGGTAAAATGTTATATTATTAGTACTTATTAACATTCCTGTATCTACACCCAGTACTTTTTGTATACAAAATGTGTTTTCAAAAATTCAAGTTAAAATAGGTAAACTATTATAACTTATTTGTCATATATAATATATGTTCTATATAAGAATATCCAATTTTAAGCTATCAAACAATTATTCTCTAAAACTGGACATTCAAAATACATGTTATAAATATACAATATAGTAAAAATATCAGGTATACCATACTATATAACCTCATTTTAAAACATATTTGATAATTCACACTCAGGACTGAAAGTAGCATAAATAATAGGTAAATATTATTTAGATAAAAATGATTTCAATAAACAAAACGATTTAATAACAATTATATATAAACAAGGTCGATAATAATTTTATTAATTGCCTAATCTTAACGTCGAAAGCATGGATGGAAATGGCCTAAATGATGCTGTACAAGACTTATATAATACCTATGATATATATTGTTAGTTGTTAAATATTGCAAGCACTGACAATTTAGTTGACCAATAGCAAGCATATTTGATTACATATAATAAAAATTTAAGTTTTCAAAAAAACTTGATATTGAATCTTTCAACTTTGCAATTAATATTGATTTATTTTTCAAACTTAAATTGAAACTATTGTATACCTTTAGGTTATATAATAATACATCATGTACAAACTCATTATCAGAATACATAATGGAGAAATAGGAGTACTAATTACTAGTAGTAATTAAAGTTAATGAATCTATAGAGTATGGTCACTGAAATAGGATTTTTAAACTCTAGAAAATTAGTTTTTCGACAAACAATTTCACAAATTTTATTGTAGAAGTAAACTTATAAAAATTGAATTTTTTTTAGACAGAACTTGAACAATAAAATCAACATAGGATGTTTAAACAAAAATGAATATCATACGTTTTAATTTTTGGCTACTACTAGCTTAGGACCGTTTACTTTTTGAACAATGATTTAGGGCTTTGTAAAATCTTTCGACTCTTCAACACCGACCAATAATGTCTATGCAGGTACCAAACTACCAAGTTGAGCACTCCCAAGATAGTAAACGCCTAAAAAAAATATTTATAATTAATTACCATTAATGATTAATTAATACAGGTAACTTAACATACTTTCATGGCAAATAATTTTCTAGTATCATGTTCTGGTTCCGCACACCATTTTAAGAATGTGATAACATCCTTCGCACACTGACTTTGTGTAGCTGGAGTTCCATCTCCATATTCAATTATCTAAAAAAACATATATTTTTTTATATATAAATTTAAAATTATCTGTAATTAATAACTTTTGTAAATAAACATAAAAGTAACTAATCTAATCCACAAAAAATTACAATGTTTTTTTTAGTTATTACCTCATCGTATAATGCTTGAGCCATTCCGATAGCACCTCCGGGGAAGTAAGGATTATAATGTTGATTCTCTGCTAATGAGATTCCTGCAGGTGGATCCATGTAACCAGTCAATAAAGCAAAGATATAATTCTGAAAATTAAAAGATTTCAATTAAAATGTTCAAATAATTACTATTAGGAGATTTATAGATAATATATTATTTTTTCATTAAGTTTTTATTCAGTGCTATTATTTCAATCGCATAAAAATAAATAAACAGAGTGATTCTTTAGTTTTTGAACACTCATTATTTAAAAAAGTATGAATGTTTTTGAAAATATTTTTTTTTTTAGTTACAAGTTATTACAAAACAACATTTTTATTAAAAAAATATATTTTAGATGTTTTTTATCCTTATATTTTTTTGAGTGTTATAATTTTTTTAAATTACAGAGTTTTAATTTCATATTCCAAAGCAGAATATTTTTTTAGTATTTCAATAAATAAAAATTGAATTTTGGGCTTGTAGTTTATGAGTTTTAAGTATTTAACGTTTAGAGAAGCGGGATAGTAGACAAATATTTTGCGGGGTAACCACTCCACTTTAATATGCTTTAAATACTTATAGGTCATAAGCTACTCGCCCTAAATTTGATTTTTATGTATCAAAATAGTCAGGTAAATATTCTGCTTTGGAATATGAAATTAAAACTTTATGTTGTCCTTCAAAAATTTAAAAATTATAAAGATAAAAATATTTAAAAATATAATTTTTTTTAATAAAAACGTTAGGTATTTTATAACAATTTGAAACTATGCAAAAAAATTTTCAAAAAAATTTACACTTTTTGAAATAATGAGTATTCAATGATCACCCTGTATTGTTCTAAAAAATAAAAAAATATGTATTAAAATGCGTAGAAAAATGTAATACATTTTAATCTAAATAAATGATTGGAAGTATTTACTATTTATTAAACATTCAATGAAGTGACTGAATAAAGAATATTTTAATAGAACATGATGTATTTATCCTTAAGTATTGATAATTTATTAAAATATCTTATATGAAAACGGACAAAAATTACTTTGGAATAATTTTTGTTCTAATCAATATTTGAATAGTATTATATATATATATAATTAATTATAGTCACTAGTGTTACAGTTACACAATATATATTATACAAACATTTTCTTTTATTTTTGAACTGAAAATAAAAATTTAAAATTTAATTAAAATGTTTTTGGATATATTCAAAAAAACCATTTTGTGAATCTAATTATAAGAACAATTTTGATGGTTTAATTTTTAGAATTTTTTTAAATATCAATAATTTTTTGATTAAATGAATTTGGGAAGTAATAACTTTTTTCAAAATTTTTTATTTGGGTATTTGCTGACATGAGAACATTTATTAAATTATTTACTAATCATATAATTTTAACAATTTTTGTCACACGTTTAAGTTGCATCATTTTTTATTTTTTATTTTTTTTAATTTTTTGGTGAGGTCTTTCTGTTACACCTCTTATGGCTTTGAGTATACATAGACATTGAAAAGGTCATAGTAATGGATGCTGTGAAAATATTTGAAAATTACACCATGTCCCAAAAATTCCTAATATAAATATTTGGTGAACTGTTTATTATGTATCTGAAGTCATTTAATTTAATTTATGTTAATTTAATATTTTTGTAATTTCTTTGAAGTTTCTGACAAACTTTCAAAAATTACAAATTGGATACAATTTTCTACTAGAAACAACAATTAAAGTTAAATAATGAAGCATTTTTAGTTTTCCAAAAAATTCATAGAAAAAAAAGCATTGTAAACAATTCATAGGTAAACCAATTCATTCAATTATCTACTCAGAATCTAAAAAATTACCTCTCCGTCTATTCTAGCTTGAGTAATGTAAGTCAAATCCGGTGGGTATGCACCCCCGTTAGCATAACGACCAGCTTCTTCATTTGGATAAGGTTTTGGTAATATGTCCGATAATTTGCCAGGTCTTTTGTACATGGCACCAGTTTCATCAGGTCCGTCATCAATCTAAATTTAAAAACAGACGTTATTATCAAATTACTCAATATTTATCTAAGTTTATACTACTATTACCATTTGTTCTGCAGCTTCAGCTTTGGCTTCATCTTCGGTCAGACATACTCCAACTAATTCACGATATGCCAAGTACTCAATGCTATGACATGCTGCACAAACGTTTTTGTACACTTCCCATCCTCGACGAACACTACAAAATAGATTTATTAATTCATTGACTGAAAAAATTATGAAAAACATGACATTTACCTAGCGTGGTCTAAAGTATCAAACCATCCGTTATGATTCCATTTTTGTTTAGCCACATGAGCTGCGTCATTAGAAGCATGAATTGACTGCTCAAGTGCATAAATTAGGGAACTACCACCACCGGCTAACACACCAAAACTGGTCAAAAACTAAAAATAAATATAATTATTTACTTATAATTATGATAACTAAATGGCTACAATAAATATTTATTGTAGAAAGTAATTACATTTTTTAAACAAGCTTAATAAATATTCTAACATCATTAAATAAGTAAAAAAAAAATTATTTTAAGAACATAAATGATTAAAATCAAAATATCTTTAGTAGATCCGTAAAAACATTATAAAAAACATACTAACAATGTAAGTACAAGAAAGACAAATCTAGTGACCTACATACAGTAAAAAATGTCTTTTTTGTATTAGTGAATTTAACTTGTTTGTAAGAGTTTATTATTTATAAGATTTTATGAATGCAATAAAAAAGAAACAAATTACAAACTGGGGACATAATCTTATAATTAAATAAAACAGATATAGGTATAATAGTAAAATCAGCATTTATGAAAAGTAGGTATGTGTATAATAAATTTAAAAAACAAAAATAGTTTTGGATTTATTTGAATAAAAATAATTCACACTTTAATTGTTCATAATTGTTAGTTACCTAAATGTAGAATATTGTTTATTTAAGTACCTAATAGTTACTCCAAGGTGTTTAGAAATTCATTTTAAATATAAAACTATTAGATTTATTAAGAATAATAGGGAATGTCTAACTAACCTACTTTTAATATAACTTTTTAAAATAAAACAATGTTCAGTGCATTTTTTAATTAAATTTGAAGTATCAATAGCAAACATTGGAAATCATTTATTATTAAAATTATGTAGTAAAATAGGTTTTAAATAGTAAATGAATTATATAATTTAAAATTTATAACTTGGATACAATGAAAAGCAGGTACTTTTATCGCAACTTAATGACTAACCAAAATATGTTGAAAATTAAAAATATCTAAAAAAAATGTTCTTAATGAAGGTAGATTATAAATATTATGGAAATCTATTGAAAATAATAAAATCTTATGATATGTCATGAGGACAGAAGCATATTTCAATCTTATGACCATTTTAAGTTAAACTGATAAATAAGTACTCAAGTAATACATGCGTAAAGCTATATTGATGACAATACTTTTTTTATTATCCAATAAATCGTATCAAAAAAATATCAGAATATGAAGTGAAAACCTGCAGTGTTACAAGACAGATTTGATTTATGTATCAAATTAAGACGCATACCAATAGTATTCAATAATACATTTTTTGACTGTTAATTTATAGTATTACGTATGTTTGATTAAAATTAGGGAACAAATATGTTAGTGTATACATTTGGATATAGAACTTTGAAATTTAGTCTGAACATTTCTATAACCAATGGCATATAGACAACTATTGACCTTAAGACACTGTAATTAACGATCACAACATACAAAATGATAGGGATCAGGTTCACAGCAAGCGGGTGTTTTCGGACGTTGGGCATGTCGTGACAGCCACAGAAACTTGGAATACCTACCTAATCCACAACCAAAGGTGGATGACGTGCGGCGTTAATAGTAGGGTGATAAATAAATGTAGGTACAGTAAGACCAAGAGTTACTTACAAATTTGTGGTTTTTCGACCACCTAGTGGCGGCCTTAAAAAATGAGAAAGTGCTCGTCATCGGTGCGGCTGCGATAGGATCTCGGCAATCAGGACGGAAGTAGATCAACGGGAAACGTTCTAGTAGGGCTTCTTTTGGTGACGCCCGCCGGGTCGTTCTCGGCGAAGATGGTCAGAAATGAAGAAAATTTGGTTCCGGCACGGCCTCAAAGAAACGGATAAGGTGGAATATTTCGCCAGTCGGGACGTACGACCTACAGCTGTATCCGATAGCAAGGGCACAGTAGCAGTGTGACCAACCCCGAAACGACTGCCGCCGTCCAACACGCTGATAACGGATACCGGTGATAATATCGCAACTGGACCGCTACCACCCGCCCGTCGATAAATTTTCCGCCTCCACTACCACCGACTATCGGCCTACTCCGATCCGTGACCTTTAGCGAAAATTGTGGGACACAACGCAATATAACTATAATTTATAATAAGTATACGCAATACGATATATTACCTAGAGCCCCGAACTCGATCGGTCGGAAGAAATTCGCAACCACAAGCGGTACCTAGTACCTACAACTGCAGACGTCAATTTTTTTCGCCGAAGATCGAGGATAATATTATAATATACTTAATAGTTAATAATGTTATTATACGGTTTTTAAAATTTCCCTTTTTTTTTTTTGGCCAACTTATTTACTATAGTTATTCAATTAATAGGAATCAGCTATTCCGCAGCCGCAGAGATGTTTTTTTCATCAAATACAATAAACCTACGACCTACCTTTAATATTATATTCACCTGGATATAGGTTGCACAATAATATGAAACTTATTTTATTTTAATTTAACCATTTTCTTAAATAAAAAAAAAACAAATGCTTATTCGTATGTATATGTAGTTAGTCACATTTTTAATTTTATTATATTCATATAAAATATAAATTATCAATTTATTAATTAATTATTTTATTTAACAACTTTATACCTAATGAAAAATGTGCATGAACTATATCTAAAGAATATTAAACGTATATTGATATAAAGCGGTGATAAAAATTTAGTTGAAACATTATCGATATAAAAAATTATCACTGCGCGTCTGAGCTCTCGAAAATAAATAGACAACAATAAAATAGTAATATACATGTGAAATTCACAGTGGCCTGGCGGATATTAAAATATTTGCACTTGATATTTTATTTTTGTATAGAAGAATAATAACTACCTACCTATATAATATAATACAATATAATATTAACTCCAAACTTGTCGTTGATGCCAAAAATATGTACATATCGGCTAACACATATTGGTATATTATTTTAAGCCTTAATATAAAATCATAATAATTATAATAATAGGTAGCTACCATAGTCCATATGTATATAAATATAATAATATTATCGTATTAGTGTATTCAGTATAACTATATGATTATTATAATTTAAATTAATATACATTCATTATGATGAGGTAGGTACACTGTACAGGTACCTATTTACTTACAGTTTTATTTTTACAAATCACTTATTAGTTATTACTGAACATTCCAATAAATATTTTCTGAATTTTTAAAATATTTGAATTTGTTATAGGTATATATTATAACAACTATAGTTGTTGACAAATTCGACATAAATTCACTTTAGCTACCCAACATTTTTTTTTTCGACTCATGAGTATTGCAACGAGTTAAGAACGATGGTGCGAAAAAAATTGTGGAAATAATATTATTTTGGAAGTTACATCCTTCCAATATGGAGATTATGAGTTTATATATATGTATGCATACATTTATGTACCTATACACTATATACGCATAAGCACAACACTGTATTTTACTGCCACGCACAGCGCCTATAACGAATTTTGATTTTTTTTTTTTAAGTACAAATGCTAATAACAATGGTGTAGTCAGAATTTGGCCATCGGACTTGGTTTTGATGTTTTAGCTTTTTGTTCTCCAAGACCCACCCAAGGTAGATTCAAAAATCCAGACAAACCGAGGGATGATTTCAATTTTAAGAAGATAATTGCAAATAAACATAATAAAGCTCTATTATTTAATTATCTATATATATATAAAAATGGAGCTTGAAAAATTGTCGTTACAATGTTACATCATCAATTGAGAACGACTAGTCCGAATTGCCTCAATTTTTTTTAAGATGTTCGTAATTACAGAAGAAGGTTTTTATGTAAGAAAAGTTTAGGAAAATCCACTTGAAAATTAGGAAATCTGAATGTAAAAAAGGTGGGCAAGTGGGTGTCGCTCTGCTGTACAGTAGGTTACAAGTGGGTCACTGTATAATAGATGATATTAAATTTGAATTCAACGATATAATATCATTGTATAAGAAAAACGATTCAGAGCGGAGACGGTATGTCAGTCTAAGTATAAGACATATTATATACATATCTATGGTATTAAACAAAAAATTGGTACAATGGTACCTATAATAAATTCCAAATTAATCATATCACAATGTCCATTAGGTACTTATAACGCGTTATACATCAACAAAGACCGTGATACTATCATAGATATATAATAGTACACTTTAGAAGTTTCAAGTACCCACGAATAATATTATTCAATCACAACAAAATAACTAAAATAGTTATTATATGTAATTTCGTCCAAATTTGAATTTAAAATGTATGTAAAAAATAATACAGTATGGTTACAGTATGAACTATTTATGAGAACCTTTGTTTTAAATTTGCAATCCTTAGCTATAAAAGCTGAACATTTCATAATTTATTAATTACAATTTACAATGATTGATAATTTTCGAGATTTTGATAAATGTTGTTAAAATTTTATCTTTAAATGCTTATAAAAAAAAAACTGTGCATATGTATTTTTAATATTTTTCAACTGCTATTGTAACAATATATCAGAAGCCTTGTATTAAATTTTTACACTTTTTGGCCCAACAGATAAAACCTTATTGATATTTATAGAAAAAAAACTAAAAAAAAATTGAAAGCTGTAAATGTCCATAAACAGCTCAAAAAGAGTCAAAATATTTTCAAAATTGTATGGTGTATAGAAAATGCTAATTTAAACATTCAGTGAAATTTTCATGTATCTACAGTTGTTCATTTAAATAAGGAAATATAAAATCGCTACATGAGTAATCGAGTGAATATCCAATGTTGTAAAAATTTGAATTTCAAACGCTCATAAAAATTTAATTTGACTGTCCGGTAGAGATTTTTTTATTGATAAAGGTAGATAATCTTATAAGGAATCTTGTGTTTCATTTTCAAATCTTAGATTAAAAAAGAAAATTTTTTACGAATTCTTAACTCAAAATAATTTGCTAATTTTCGTGATTTTTCCATATTTTGTCAATTTTTGAACTTTAAATGCTTATAAAAAAAAAATTGTGACTAAGGATTTTTAATATTTTTCATCTCCTTTTGAAACAATTTATTAGGAGCATTCTATTAAATTTTCAAGCCTTTGCAACCAACAAATAAAATTTTATTGATATTTTTAGAAAAAAAACTAAAAACAAACTAAAAAAAAACGGAAAATGAAAATGTCCCTAAACAGTTCAAAATAAATCATAATATTTTGAAAATGTTATCGTGTATATAAAATGCAAATATAAACAACCAGTGAAAATTTCATGTATATACGTTCATTTCTTTTAGAGTTACACCAAAAACCAAAATCGATTTTTTGGAACACCGATATTGCGTAAAAATTTAAAATTCCCGTTTTTCCTTAATTTTTATGTTGTTTTTCCAGGCGCTTTTGAAAATTACTTGAAATTTTACATTTTGACCTTCTCAATGCACCAAAGATATTCACTTTCCAATCGAACAAGATACTGAAGTTGAAAATCGAAGCATTATTTCAACTACTTATCGTGTACATAGACACACAAAAAAAAAAAAAACACACATCATTGTAAAATCAATACATTCATCGTTTCACTCAGAATCTAAAAAAATCGACACAATAATATAATAAAAATTTAGTTTATTGTAGCATATTAAAATAATAATAGTGTATTATATATAGGTTGCTATTGGTTAATCAAGCATGTTTGTTGGTTTGTATTATTATTTTTAGTCTATAAATATATATATAAAAAGCGGGTAAGTGGATGTCGCTCTGCTGTACAGTAGGTTACAAGTGGGTCATTGTATAATGGATTGTATTAAGCTTGAATTCAATGATATTCTATCGGTGTATAAGAAAAACGATTCTGAGCGGAGATGGTTTCTCAGTCTGGATATTTTATATTGTCATTAATTATTATATCATGTAAGTTGAATTAATATTATAATATTATAATTTTTATTGTTTCTATGGTAATAAACAAAGCGTTAGAAATTAAAATCCAATTTTTAGCAGTTTTTCGTAATTTTTCGGTGGTCAGTGGCATTTAATAACTATTGATAATATCAAAAAATGACCTCTCTAAAGTACTATCTTGATCCAATTTGCTAAAAGATAAGGTACTATATGTTGAAATCGAAGAACTCCTTCTGGTAGACATTTTGTATACAGGATATAAAAAAAAAAAAAGATAAAAATAAACACCATTGTAAAACCACTAGCTTCCCCAGAATCTAAAATGAATTTCTAGGAAGAAGATAGGCTTATTTAAAAGGGTTAAATTTGGTTTTTTTTTATTCATCGGATTTTAGTACGGTTAGGTTAGGATTTTGTATTAATTGATTATATTAATTCACCGTAGATGGAATTAAGTAAAAACGACAACTTGGTATAACTTTGAATTTTGATACTTAAGTGTTAAATCATCCACTTACGTACAAACAGCACGGGGTCCGCCATCTACAGCAGGTAGATTGCCTAAATGATAATATATTGATGCGAATAAGAATTTTTATTCTGATCGACGGAAAAGTTAAGATATTTTGAACACTATACACTAAACATTAAATAACGAATTGCACGGGATTACCTATTTAGGTATAAAGATAATTTAATATAATATATTAATTATATAGTAATGACTAATCACTAATGGGATACTTATAAAATAACTATATTACAGTATAAATTAAAATGTACAA